AGTTGTAAAACAACCCAGTAGTACATGGAATTTGCTCCAAGACTTAAGAACAATAAATGACATAGTTGAGCCTCTACGTCTTGTGGTTCCTAACCTTTATACTATAATAGACAAAGTGCTAGTGAATAGGCCTTTTATTATAAGAACTACCTTCCCTCTGTAACCTGATTTGTGCCACTAGTAGAGCCTCTAATTGGAATATTATTGCTTTTTAATTTTTGAACCAGTAGCTTTTTTAACCACTTGATAAATTGGCCCAAGCAGGTATGTTACCTTCAGAATCTAAAATGGCCCACCAGATATTGTGCTCCCACTCCTTCCCCAGTTATAGAAACTAGATGTTATTTCATACACTTTAGAAGATATATAGACAATGTTCTACTGAACCCCAGTGGTATAAAGGGCTTAGTGTTCAAAATTACATTCTTAGACAATGAGTTTGTCTGCGCCTTATAGATGCACAGTCAGATGCAAATAAGGCGTGTTAGCCAAGGGGATTGGCAAGTCTCGCTATTCAATTGAGAAGATCCAGCAGCAGAAAAGGAGGAACCTCACTGTCAGAAAATATTTCCTCTTTCAGGACCAGATTCTTGTGCCAGCCAGAGTAGGGCATGCTAGAGCAACAGCCATAGCACCACGACAGAGAACCAGAGACCTGTCATGAGATGGAGCAGATCTTGGGACTGCTACACCATTAAACCAGAGCCAAGAACCTTTTGTCCATGTGTGTTGGGACACTGTGGTGGTGGTGGCCAGTACTGGTAGGGCTGAGAACTTTGTAACACTGTTTTAAAGGCTCAAGGCACATTTCAGAAGCTGTCCTGACTATCCTGGTACTAACTTGAATTAGAGCCTTCTCACTTTCCCAGTATGGTTCTGTATGTTCTATGAGCTATCACATTGGCTTTTGACCCAGTAAACCAGTAATATTGGTCCTGGGATGAGTAGAAAAAGGTTTAGACCTCGTGGAAATTGGTTTTGTGTGTTGGTTGATGTTGATAGGAACAATTCTCCTTTGTGAAGTTGACAATTATCAGATAATGGCTGTCTCCACATGGCCCTTGCTCATTTTACAACCCTCTAGAAGTTTCATTCAGCTAGGTGGAAGGTGCCAGGATTTTGACAGATTAATTTATAGTGGTTGTAGTAGTGAACACAGCAAAGACTGTGGGGATTGTACAAGGTCAGGCAGTGTTTCATTCTGTTGTACATAGCATTGTAGCCAACTTGCTGCTATCTTAATAACAGCATGCAGATATCTTATGAGTAGTCTAATTATTGGTTTTTCTTCCTTACCAAGTCCAGTCAGCATAATAGCATCATTATAATGAACCAGTGTGACATCTATAAAAGGAAAATGTGATCAAGATCTCTAGACTCTAAATTACAACATAGGCCTGGAAAGTTGACACACATCTGAGATAAGACAGTGAAGGTATATTGCTGGCTTTATCAGCTGAAGAAAACTAATTCTGGTAATCATTCAAAATCACCACTGGGCCAGTTGACACCATCATGCTAGATGGTGAAGAGGTTGAGATTGTTAACAGCTTCCGTTTGCTTCCATTGCTTTGCGTTGGCTCCACCATCTTGATACCAGCAGCTAGGAAATCAAAAGATAAATTGCGCTGGGCAAGTCTGCTGTCAGAGACTTCTCCAGAGTACTGAAGAGCAACAATATCAGTCTGGAGACTATAGTGCACCTGATCCAGGCCTGGATCTTTGCAGTTAATTGCTATGCATCAGAAAGCTGGATAAGGACTAGGCATGGTAGAGGAGTATTGATTCCTTTGAGCTGTGGTGCTGGAGAGGAGTATTGAATATACCATGGACTGCTAAGAGAACCAACAGGTTTGTCCTGGAGAGGGTGAAACTAGGCTGCTCCTTAGAGGCAAGGATTTTAAAACTCTGTCTGAAATATTTTGGACATGTTGTGAGGAGGGACCAGTCCTTGGAAAGGGCCATCATGCTCGGGGAGAGTGAAAGGACAGCTCAAGAGAGGAAGACTCTCAGTGAGATGGATTGACTCAGTGACTGGGGTAATGGGATAATGGGTGTGTCAAAGATGGTAAGGTTGGCTCAGGATAGACTGGGGGTTCAGAGCTGTTGTGCATAAGGTCACATTGAGTCTCAAGTAACTCAGTGGCATATAACAATAACAACAACAAAGAAAGCTACATTCCAAAGGACCTGCCCTTTCTCCATGAAAGGAAATATTGAGGGAGAAGCCTGTATCCTAAAATTTTTAATCTGTTATGATTTCATTTTATGTTGGAAATTTTTAATTTTCTTTCTTTCTGTGATGGAGTAGTTTTTAACTATTTTCCTTTGTTTTTTGTTTTGTTTTCCTCTTATTTTCCTGTTACTGATTTCTAGCTTGTCACCAGTATGACCAAGAAGATGATTTATATGAATGCAATATTCTAATATTTGTTGAGACTTGTTTTATGTATTAGCATATAGTCTATTCTGGAAAATGATCATGTATGCTGGAGAAAAATATTGTTCTGATGTATTGTTCTGTTGGCTGGGTGGCATGTTCTCTAAGGTCTAGTTGCCTTATGGTTTTACTTAAGGTTTCAATATCCATAGCAATCTTTTTAGTTGTTCAGTCTGTACAGAGTATGGTATCCTGTAGTCTCCTACTAGTATTGTGGAGACAGACAATAAAATAAAATAATTTAATTTGCCTTCATTCATGCCTGTTCTGTCAAGCTTTCTGTTTTCTAGAAACTTGTTAGAATTTATTGATCAGCCATCTCCTAATATCTCTGGTTATTTTTGTAACTCTCAATATTTGTTCATTTTAATTTTTAATGTTTACCTTAATACAATTTTAATGAAAAGGCAAAAATAGAGATTTCTGTGTTGTTTTATAATAATATAATTTCCTTTTTTTAAATTTTTTTTTTTATAATTTCCTTTTTTGATCTCAAAAAGTTGATGACTTTCAACCAGTTCGGGTATTAAGTATACCTGGAGAATTAAGAAGAGAATATGAAGAAGAGATAAGTAAGGTAAGTGCTAAATAATTGTTCTGTTTTGGAAAATTCTGTTTTTTTTTCAGATATGTGTTTTATGTGTAGTTATGTGATTGTGGAAATAGAAATATATTGTTATGAGTATTATATACCATCAAGTCTTTAACTGATGAGGTTTTAACTGACCTATAGCTGACCCTTCCGCAGGTTTTTGGAGACATTCACTTAGATGAGAGGGAATCACTCTTCTTTTCTCCCTCAGTGCACCTGGTGGATTCGAACCGCTTGACTTTGAGATGGCAGCACTGCTCATTAGCCACAAGGCCATCAGAGCTTCCTATGTTGTCCTTATTGTTATGTGCCATTGAGTCGCCTGCGACCCTATGTACAGTATCTCTGAACCCTGCCCTGTCCTGAGCCAGTCTCATTAATTCTGACACACCAACCCCTCATTGCCCCAGTCACTGTATCAGTCCATCTCATCTGGGTTCTTCCTCTCCCGCACTGTCCCTCCACCTTTCCAAGCATGATGTCCTTCTCCAAAGACTAGTCCTTCCTCGACACATGCCCAAAATATGTAAGACAGAGCTTCAGAATCCTAGTATCCAAGGAGAAACTTGGTATCACCCTCTCCAGGACAGACCAATTTCTTTTCTTGGCAGTCTATAGTATGTTCAAGACTTCTCCAGCACTACAATTCGAAGGCATCTATTCTTCTATCATCCTTAGTCATTGTCTAACTCATAGATAGTATATATTGTTATTTGTTGTTATGTGACATTGAGTTGCCTGTGACTCGTAGCAACCCTGTGTACAACAGCCCTAAAACCTGCTCTATCCCTTGCCAATCTTAATGTCTCTGACACACCTATCCCTATTACCCTAGTCACTGAATCAATCCATCTCATCGAAGGTCTTTCTATTTGCACCGACCCTACACCCTCCAAAGCATAACATCCCTCACCAAGTACTGATCCCACCTTGCAACATATCCAAAGTATGTCAAATGAAGCTTCAGAATCCTTGCCTCCCAGGAGCAGCCTGGCTTCTTCATCTCCAGGATGAACTTGTTTGTTCTTCTAGCAACCCATGGTATATTCAGTACTCTTCTCCAGCACCACAGCTCAAAGGCATCAATTCTCCTTGTATCATCCCTAGTCATTGTCCAGCCCTCTAATGCATAGCAAGTAATTGCAAAGACCATGGCCTGTATCAGGCACACCTTAGTCTCCAGACTGACTCATTGCTCTTCAGTACTTTAAAGAGGTCTCTAACAATAGACTTTCCCAATGCAATTTGTCTTTTAATTTCCTGGCTGATGGTACCAAGAGTGTTGACTGTAGAGCCAAGCAAACTGAAGCTTTCAACAATCTCAATCTCTTCACCATCCATCATGATGCTGCCACTTGGCCCAGTGGTGAGAATCTTTGTTTTCTTGATATTGAGCTTCAATCCATGTTGAAGGCTGTAGTCTTTGACCTGCAGCAAGCGCTTCACGTCTTCCTCAGTTTCAGCAAGTAGGGTTATGTCATCTGCATAATGCAGATTGTTGATGAGTCTGCCTCCAATCCTGATGCCACCCTTCTCCTCATAGAGCCCAGCCTCCCAGATAATCTGTTCTACATATAGATTGAAAAGATACGTAGCTAGGACACATCCTTGATGCACACCCTTCCCAATTTTAAACCATGCAGTGTTTCCTTGCTCTGTTCTGACAATTGCCTCTTGGTCCAAGTACAGCTTTCATATAAGCACAATCAAAGTGTTCTGGGTTTCCCATTCTTCTCAGAGTCAGCCACAGTATGCTTTTTTGAGTTGAATATGTATTAGAATGTAAATATTTCAAAGGATATCTAGTGGTGTAATGTGTTATGTTTTGAGCTGCTAATAAAAAGATTGATAGTTTGAATTCACTTGTCTCTCCCTGTAAGAAAGATGGATTATCTGCTCCCATAAAGATTTGCAGCCTTGGCATTCCCTTTAAGAACAGGAACTAGGCAAGGATGCCCACTATCACCTCTTTTATTCAATATTGTTTTGGAAGTCTTAGCAATAGCAAT